CACGCGAGTTCAATGGTGGCTAAGAACTCGGTCCCTCAATCCCTGAGCTAGCTTCACTTTTAAATATCCCTGCTATGAGTTATGTGGAGACCATAAAGGTGAGATGACAGGTAGATCGCCCACCACATCTCAACGTTTTGTCCTAAAACAAGTGAAATACTTACTAAGGGCGACTTCTATAGTTTGTAGGGTACAAAGGCACAAGGCTTAAAGAAAAGTGATTTTCCACTGAAAACCTTTAAAAACACTTCATTTAATTTGAATGTAATTAACATTTAAATTAGTCTTAAACTTCAATTGTGCGTTTCGCAGGAGTGTCAAAGTCCTGTGGGAGAGCAGAGTTAGGGTTGCCGCCTGTGGCTAGGGACCTGGAGTGTCTGCGTGGACAATCCAAAACGCCAGTGCGGGGCACCCAGCATGTGTTTTGTACCTGTCTCTGGCACCTACTTCTAGAACCATCTGGGATAGAACCTTCTGGGAGGTTTCAAACGCTCATCATCACTTTTCCAAGTATTTCGTTGTTTCTCTGCTACCCTTAAATGTAACTTTGGTGAGCGCTCCTCTTTCCTGTCTCCCTCTATGTGTCTCCGTCACTGTGCAGCTTTAGGAACTCTTCACTGCTTCGTTAGACCCAGAAACAAGCAGTTTTCCTTTAATGAGAAGAGAAGGAAAGGAACTCGGCCCAGGGCCGCACAGCTGGGGGCCAGCTCTGAGAGAGCAAAATTCTTACCTGTCTCCAGTTCTTGAAACGCCAGGAGTTTCACAGTCAGGTCAGCCACCGGTCCCGAAACACCGAATAAAGAGACATGGTGAAGGCAGAGAAGAGAGATGTGTTAGGTGGCAGACACCGCAGACAGCACTTCTACGCTTCTCCCGCCGTCTTCGGCCATCTTCAGGGGCACACACGTTTGCTTTCATTTTAAATAGGGAACTTGAAGTGAGGGCTAGAGGTATGAAAATTAAAACAGTCCCAGGCATGGCCTGGTGGGCCCTTCTCTCAGCCTTTGTCTCTGGAGAAGCTGTCATCACCAGGACAAGTCAGTCACTCTTGTCTGGAGGTTGTCTCGAAGCTTTTGGCTGGTTTCTTCCCTTGGAGCAGTTTTTTGCCTTTTGCAGAATGGAAGGGCACTGCCTTGTCTGAGGGGCGTTCACCTCTTGGCCCAGGATGTTTCTAGGTAAATCTTGTCTCTCCTGGAAGTGACTGTAAAATGACTTCTGAGAATGGCTCAGCCCCAGGGGCACAGATGCAAGGGGGCGGGGGGCTGGGTGCCCCGCTTTCATCCTGGTTTTAGTTCGTTCATGAGCCCAGCAAAAGCAGCTTTTACATTGTTGCTTATATCCTTGGCTGTACTGGAGGCGCGGTGGCGGCTGTCAAGCGAAAGAAGCCCCAGATACTCGCCAAAGCTTCTCCTGGCTGCGAGCTCCAGGGAAACTAGGTCAGCCAAATACGCTCATGCTTCCTTTGCCTGGCCAGCGTTACACTGGCCCCGTCAGCGGAGCCTCCCTTCCCCATTGGGGTCCCGGGCAGATGACTCGGCTCCGCCGTGGCTTTGGGTCTCTCCTGGCACCCACGGAGCTTGGAGCGCATGCACTGCTCTTGCCTCTGGACCTTCCGTCTTGTCTGTGCAGCCCCTGGTTGGCACACTCAACTCCCGACTTCCAGCCCACCCCCAGCCCAGGCCCAGCGGGGCGGCGCAGGGGTGGGGGTGCGGGGAGCTCCTCGTGGCCAGCAGGGATCGATCGCCCTCACTTATGAGCCTTCTCAGGGCGCTGAAACTCACTGCCCTCTTCATTTGTATTTACTGAGTGTCCACTGTGGTCAAAATGACTCAGTCACCTCGGGAGAAAGGAAAGGAAGTCCTCGCATCTTTGCGGGGTGATAGGTCATGTGGGTGGTCAGGGAACCCCAACTAGCTAATCTTTTGTTTTCTTTGTTTGGGGGGATTGGGTTTTGTTTGCATGTCTGTGGCAAGGTCTCCCAACAGAGCCTAGGCCGGCCTCAAACTTTGAACCTTCCTGCCTCTGCCTCACAAGTGCGAAGCTCCAGGAGTATGCCACCAGGCCCAACAAACTCATTATTTTGGAGAAGTGTGACTACCTGAGAGAAGCTTCCAGGGTTTCCAGCCATCCCTTACCCTGACTCCTAGCCTCATTCAGCAGTCCTAAGGCAGCATCCGACTCCTTCTTCTCATAAAAGGAATCAAGAAATGTTGCTGTTTAGAAATACTCCCTTCTGGCAGGATGCAGACTTGAGAATAGAGATGTGACAACAATTCCGAAATGTTCTTTTAAGACACACGCACGCACGCACGCACGCACGCTCTCACACCCCAGTCCCCCATAGTACACAGATCACCCATTTGGTTTCCACACACAAAATACACACGCTGACCTCAGATGACAGTTGTTTGAAATGGCTCAGATGTTGCAGTTGTGTGCCGCCAGCCTTGTCCCGGCCCCCTGCGCCAGATGTCCACCCTGCTTCGCGTGGTCCCCTGGGGCTGCACCATGTGTCAGCCGGGCACTCACTCCGTCCTCAGCTCAGCTTTGCCCAGTTCTTGTCCACTCGCGTGGCCTGGAAAGTGTCTCGCATAAGCCCTGTTGTCAGAGCCGCCCCAGCAGCAGCTGTGTTCCGGCAGGGCACCCGCCCGCTGTGGGGCAAGGCCAGACACTGCGAGGCCTCTGCTACTCTCCTGGTTTTATCCTTGATCCAGAAGGAAAAATGTTGGAGCCTGGTACCCGTGACTCGTACCTGTCATCCTAGCTACTCAGGAGGCTGAAATCTGAGGATCTCAGTTCAAAATCAGCCCAGGCAGGAAAGTCCATGAGATTTTTATCTCCAGTAAACTATACCTCCCTCCCCCCTCCAAAAAAAAGCCAGAAGTAGAGCTGTGGCTCAAGTGGTAGAGCATTAGCTTTAAGCAGAAGCAGCTCAGGGACAGTACCCAGGCCCTGAGTTCAAGTCCCAGGACCAGCACACACACTGGGTGCCACAGGCCGTGGTGACAGATGATTTAGTAACTAAGTTACGCTCATTAGGACTTCATTCCCTGCATCCCAGGAATATTTTGGAGGCTGGATATAATCTCCAAATAAGATAAGGGCTGCTGAAGCCATTGAGTTTTATGTTATTATTACTTTTTTTAGTATTTCTAGCAGTGCTAGGTAGGTGGAAACTACCGGGTAGGGACAATGTGACATTTCCAGGCCAGAAGCTCCGGTTCTACAGATGGACAGAGCAGGCCCATCCTTACCCGTGTGACCTTGGACAGCGCCCTACTAGACTGGCTGTCCTGGTCACAGACAGGTGTACTCGACCATCGCACAAAGGTTTATTAGGCCCAAAGCCTAGTCTGGACTTCAACAGACAAAACCCAGTAAACATAACCTGATTTCTGTGCTCATGGGTTGACTCGGGCTGGGGAGGGGCAGAGGGGGTCAGTATGGGCAGGTGGGGTTCTGGCCGAGGAGCTGGCTAACTGCAAGTTTGGAAAGGTTCATGTATAGCAGTGTGATGGGAGATCTTTCTGGGACAAAGTACACATGGGGGGGGGGGTTCCAAAATGGCAGGCCTGAAGGCCACGCTTGCCCGATCCACAGAGGTACGCCGGAGTCTCAGACCCAGTGGTCACCATGCACTTAGCGGTCAGCAGAGGACATGAGAAGCATTGCTCGGAAGAATTCAGCTTTAGTGAGATTTTTGTCAGCCACAAAAGGATTTTCACCAGGACAGGCCTCAAATGAAAATGGCCTCCAGGCCAGGCCTAAGCACAAGCCAAACGTCCACACTGCTTTCTTTCCTCCTAGGTTGTACCCAGCTGTCGCCTGTCCCTCCTCTCAGTGCCTCTGCTCCCTGGGACAAGCTCGGCAGGGCTGCCTGGCTGTTGGGAAACTTTCACTGGGCTGCCAGGCCGCACGCCCTTCGCACCCGGGGCTCAGGTCCTGACCAATCACCATTTCCCCTGGAGCTCAGCAGCTCAGTCCCACGCTGGGCCTGGAGATCCACATACACTCAGCATCAGACGCCAGCCCGGCACACGCTCCCTGCTCGCCCGCCGCCACTTTCATCCCCATTTTCTCCAGTCGGATCAAGGAGAAAAGTGATTTTTTTTAAAAGCCTGGCTGACACAGCTATTTTTCTCCCTATCTCTTTCGCATTTCTTAACCTCTCCTTGTACAGCCTACTGGTCCATGACTTGTTTTAATATTTAAAGACTTCTTATTTTTTAGAGTGGTTTTAGGTTCCCAGAAAAGTTGAAAAGGGTACCCCGAATTCCACACAGTCCCCACCCCACCACCAACGCACCCCACCCCTCCCGCCGTCCCCTCCAACACTGGAGCAGCATCGGTGATGCTGATCGCCGGCCCGGGCACCTTGTGTTCACCACAAGCTCCTAGTGCACCATAAAGTTCAGTGTATTGTATATTCTGGGGCTTTGGTCAAATGCATAATGGCTTGTATCTATGATTATCCAGACTTGTTCTGAAGCCCTAACCCTCCTCTGTGCCCCGCCTGTCTATCCGGCTGTCCCCTACAAACAAGCAGGGCGCTTGTTTGTATGTGGGGCTCAGCCGCTCAGCCATCCACTGACCCTCACGCACACACCAATAGTAGCAGCTTCTGTTGAGAGTCAGCATCTTATGACCATCAGGTTGCCAGTGAGCTCTGGACTCGGTCCTGTGTCCTCTGCTCCGACCCACTGCTTCTTCCTCAGTGCCACTGGCAGACCAGGGTGTTTCCTTCAAAGTCCTGGGCGTTCTGACTGGAATGTGAATTTGTACTCCTGTTTTTTTTTTTTTGAAAGCACTAAGATGTGTTGGAAGACTGATTATGTTCTTGAAACGTCTGGATGATAATAAGCGTCTCTCTAAGTGGTTAACTTGGAAATGCACAATGTGATGATTTGTCATATACTCAGAGTCTGGGGGAAGGGTTCCTTCGAGTGGCTAAGACATTCTGTTAATTGATTGCTGTTTTTCTTTTCTGCCTCTCATTTCAGAACGGTTTGATCACCACTGTCCCTGGGTAGGCAACTGTGTGGGGAAAAGAAACTACAGATTTTTTTATATGTTTATTTTATCCCTGTCTTTTCTGACAGTCTTTATATTTGCATTCGTTATCACCCACGTCATCCTTCGTAAGTATGCTGACGAAATCAGATTACGTATGTAACCATTTACCTGACTTTGGTTTTCTGATTTAATTTTGATTTACTATTTTGATCATTTCGGGCTCTCTCCTCCTTCCTTTTCCTTTTCCTTTTCCTTCTTCTCTCTCCCTGCCCTGTTTCTCTCTTCCTCCTTCCTCTTCATCTCTCCATCTCTCCCCACCCCTTCCTTCCACCAGCACTTTCCCCAGGGCCTCGCCTAGACCAGATTCACTGCCACTAGCAAGACTTTCCCTTGAAACACCTGTCACCATTCCAACTTGGTAGTTCTGCTAAGGGATCCTCTTGAAAGATTCATCCCCGCATTCTATACAAAGGCCTTCGTGCCACAGTGATAATAACCATGAATAACAGAGCCTGTTTTCCTTAACACAATATCTACTTATACTGGAAGTTACTATCCCTAGAAAACAAGTCTGGGATAAAGAATAGGTTTCCTTGTACACATTTTTATATGTTTAAAATATCCAGCTGGGCGCCACTGGCTCACGCCTGTAATCCTATCTACTCAGGAGGCTAAGATCTGAGGATCACGGTTCAAAGCCAGCCCGGGCAGGAAAAGCTGTGAAACTCTTATCTCCAGTAAACCACCAGAAAACCGGAAGTGGCGCTGTGGCTCAAGTGGTAGAGTGCTCACCTTGAGCTGAATAGCTGAGGGACAGTGCTCAGGCCCAGAGTTCAAGCCCCATGACCAACAAAAAACAAATAAAATATCCATTTACAGAGATATCCATTTATCTGCAAGAATGCAGGCTAATGACCCCTGGCGTGTAAAGAGAGCAACCATATTAAAAATCAGAATTAGCTGTAAATGATCTTGATGTATTTGTGGAAGCAGAAATTGAATGGCATTTGTTTTTCAATCCCAATTCTGAAGGTCATAACTTTGACTTTCTTTGGTCTGTGATCCTTTGCTTTCCTTCAGTGGGAAGTGAGTGGAAGGATGTTAATTGACTTTGAACTGTAATTCAGGTCTTTCAACCTCCATGGTGGTGCCATGCTGCATTAGAAGCCAGCCTTCCCTCTCGTCCACATTCCTGGTATAGCCAACCACCCACTAGCCTGTCTCTGTCAGGCTTCTGGAAGTACCCAGAGAGGCCTCGCTGGCTTTGCCTAGCCGTGACGGCCCCCAGCTTGGGCTCGACAGAGCTGTCCCCTTTCTATCCCTTTCCAGAAACCCAACATGGTAAAATTGGAGCCAGGGGCCTTTCTTTAGATTCACAGACAAAAAGAATCAGAAAGAAAGCCTAAACTATTACATAGTATTTGCAAAGAAACAATTATTGACCTAATCTGAGAATAAATATCAACACCAGAATACATATGCCACTAACAAGTAGTATGCGACCCTAAATCCTTGTCATCTCTGAAGCGCTCTTTGAACTTTTATGTATTATCAGATCACATTTATGACATCACATCCCACGCTCTGCATGTCAAGGGTCAGCTTTCACTCACTCACTCATGTGTGAACTCCAGAACACATACACACACACACACACACACACTGGCACAACTTTCACACAGCCTCACACTCACATTTCACACTGTCTCATACCTTCCACACTCATCTCCTCTCACTGCACACACTCAAATATACACACTCACTCACAGGCTCTCACACCCCCTCACAGTGCCACTCACAAACCTCTTACCCTGTCACACTCGCTGGTTTAAACATACTCACGCACTCCTACATGTGGAGGCCACAGCCTGCCACAGCTGGGGGCTGTGTCATGTACACACACGGCCACTGGATTCTCACGCACCTCCACTCCTGCACACTGCAGTTTACTGTCATTAAATATTATTCATCCAATCTACAAACTAGAAGAACTTATCTGCCTGAAAATAACTGAATGTTTCCGACAAAAGTAAATATGCTTCCCCTTTCCCCTTCTTCTGCACCTCCAAAGCCCCCACTAAGCATCTTGTCCTCGATCTGGCTGGGCACCATGATGTTTTTAGCAAAGCAAAGGGTTTGCATGGCCTTTGTGTTCTATTCAGAGTCAGAAAGCAATGGACAGTGGCAGAAAACCGGAAGCCCCGTCACCTGAGCCTTCTCTACTGGGAGGCCGGCTCTGAGTAAAGGACGGGACTGCAGGCTGGGGAGAATTCTGGGACCGGGGCATCCTGGAAAACTTTTTATAGGAGAAAGAACATTTAGGCAAGCAGTAGAACATGAGGGTAGCAGAGAAAGAGAAGAAATCATTTCTTCTAGTCTCCTCGATGTGCCTCAGGATTGTATTTGCCCAACACCATCAGCATGGCCAGGCTGGCGGTGCCCTCCGGCCTCAGGGAGTTACAAGAGGAAGGTTTAAACTCCAGCTTCCTCATTAGTTCTGCACAGCCCCATTGCCTCCTACCATGGTGTCCTTGTACCTCTGGTGGGCAAGATGCCCAGAGGGAGGGTCATCTCCAGGACAGAGATGGAGGCGAGCCTCCCTCCTCATCACACAGTCGTGGGGACACACGGAGGAGTCGAGGGCCTGCCACTCTCTACTCCCACCGTGCAGCCAGGCTGGGTAACGCAGGGCTGCAGCCACCCCCTGGCCTCCGTGCCAGATCTGCACATCTCATTGCTGCAGAAGGGCTAACTGCCTGGTGGAGCACAGTGACTTCCACAGAACAGGGACCAGGCCTCAAGATGGCAGTGCCAAGACTTCCTCCAAAGCCCATGCCTGTAACCCTAGCCACTCAGGAGGCTGAGATCTGAGGATTGTTGTTCAAAGCCAGCCCAGGGAGGAAAGTCCGTGAGATTCTCATTATCTCTAATGAACTACCAAAAAGCTGAACATAGGTCTGTGCCTCAAGCTGCTGAGTGCTAGCCTTGAGCAAAAAAGCTAAGGGAAAAGCACCCCTTACAACCTGAGTTCAAGCCCCAATTCCTCCACACCCTTCCCCCAAAAAGACTTAGTCCTAATGGGGTTTTATTGTTACAAGTGTTGGGGACACACTACCGTGCCAACACATTGAACAACAATTGCTTTCCATCAGCTGCAGCTTTACAAAAGCCCCAGAAAAAAAAATGTTTTCTTGCAAAGACAATTCCTATTATAAGTCTTAAACCCAAAAGGAGTCAGACATTAACTTCAGCTTTACAGCTTTGTTTACTCTGGGTGCAGAGAAAGGAGTCTATTTCATATGGAGCCTAGTTCCTAGGAATTTTAGGGTCAGAAGTTAATAAATTTGGGGAAAACAGGAAAGAAAAAAATAGCATATAATATTTTGTTTTCCTGTTAAAAATGAGGAAAACAAAAGAGTAATCAGAACCATAATTTATGGGGAAGTACGCTGGCATCCATCTGCTTTTATTGGAAAAAATGCCTTGCAGATGTTGGGTGTAATTACGTTTCTGCCATATTTGTGTTGAATAAGTTCAAGGGAATCACAGACTCCCATCAGGAAACCGGATTCCACAGCACTCAGGAAATGTAATTGTTTCATTGATCTTTGGATAGTTACTACTTTTATGAAGACAAGAGCTTTTGCGTGAGGCTGTCCAGGAGCTGAATATCGGAATGCTAAATGCTGTTTCGTTCCCACAGGTTCCCAGCAAACAGGATTCCTCAATGCCCTCAAGGACAGTCCCGCCAGATATCCTTTCTTGTGCTTGGTGCCGTGGTAATGTGTTCAGTATTCGTGGACTTCTCCCTTCCCTTCTCCTCGCTGGCTTTAGCTTTTCTTCTGGTTAATCTTATTCTTACTCATTCTGTGAGGCATCCAACAAGTCCCATATATATATAATATATTTCACATTTTTTATAATATTCACACTCATGATAATATTCATGTTTGTGACAAAAGTGACCATCTGGACCCTTGGATCTCTGCGTGACTCACGCAGCCTTGTCTCAATTAAAGTGTTCTTTAGCCAGAGACCTCAACAGGAACCCTTCTCCCCCACACCCCAGCATCGAGTAGTATTGGCTGTGCTTGGGTGGCACTGGTAGAAACACAAGCTGCCTCCCCCTTCCACCCCCCGTGATGGGTGGGCAGTCCAACAGATCCCTGGTGGATGCCAGGTGGCGTCCCAGGCCATTTGGGTGAGGTGTCTGGGTGCAGCGTGGCATTCCTTCGGGAGTTCAGGTGACCCAGATGTTATTTCTAGACGTTGAACTCCCTTCATGGTCCTGCGGTACAAAGATGGTCAGACTAAGTGAGGACTGCCTCCCAAACAGGATAGATGGTTCTTGAAAGAAAAATGTTCACCCAGTACGTGCTTCAATGGGCTTCTGCTGAATGCTTTACCAGGATTGCTGTGGAATCTACCACAAGGGCCTACTGACCTGGCTCCTTGGGAGACAGCTTATTTCACATGGAACTGGGTAAATTGCAGTTAAGCTCCTCATGCGTGGTTTTCACGTATAGTGGAAAATCTGCCACGTGTGCATGCATGTGCTTCTTAAGGTAACATGGTCCACATGTCTCAGCACTGGGGAGAACAGCTGGTGGGTGGCAGAGGTAGACAGACAGATGGCGAAACACGCATTGCCACATAAGTATATCCATGCTCAGGGAAGTATGTCCTCCTGGCCTCTCTGCAGCTGTGGGCAGCATTGGACGTTGGTTCTGTGGTGTGGTTGGTTCTGTGGTGTAGTTGGTTCTGTGGTGTAGTTGGTTCTGTGTTGTGGTTGGTTCTGTGGTGTGGTTGGTTCTGTGCTGCGGTTGCTTCTGTGGTGTAGTTGGTTCTGTGGTGTAGTTGGTTCTGTGGTGTGGTTGCTTCTGTGCTGCGGTTGCTTCTGTGCTGCGGTTGCTTCTGTGGTGTGGTTGCTTCTGTGGTGTGGTTGGTTCTGTGGTGTGGTTGGTTCTGTGGTGTGGTTGCTTCTGTGGGGTGGTTGCTTCTGTTCTGTGGTTGCTTCTGCTCTGTGGTTGCTTCTGTGGTGTAGTTGCTTCTGTGGGGTGGTTGCTTCTGTTCTGTGGTTGCTTCTGTTCTGTGGTTGCTTCTGTGGGGTGGTTGGTTCTGTGGTGTGGTTGCTTCTGTGGGGTGGTTGCTTCTGTGGTATGGTTGGTTCTGTGCTGCGGTTGCTTCTGTGCTGCGGTTGCTTCTGTGCTGCGGTTGGTTCTGTGGTGTGGTTGGTTCTGTGGTGTAGTTGGTTCTGTGGTGTGGTTGCTTCTGTGGTGTGGTTGGTTCTGTGGTGTGGTTGGTTCTGTGGTGTGGTTGGTTCTGTGGTGTAGTTGCTTCTGTGGTGTGGTTGCTTCTGTGGTGTAGTGCAGTCTGCATGGTGAAGACACAGAGGAGACACAGGGACAGCGAATAAAAGAGACTTGGAGCCAATTCCACTGGAGTGTCCTCTTGGATTAGTGACATGGGAAGCTGAAGTGAGCCAGGAGCTGGCCAGAAAGCAAAATAGTCATCATAGCCTCATCTGCACTAACAAGAACAAGTCCATTCAAAACCGATTTGGCATTCTTCCCCCACACCCACCCCAGACTCACGTGAGCTCTGGGTCTTCTTGCACTTGAACAGCAGCTGCTCCTACCACTCCTCCCCCTCCCCCCATGCACATGCACATGCACACCACCAGTCCTTTATACTCTCAGCATTTCTCAGATTGGGTCTCACCCTTTTGTTAGGAAAACAATCCTCCTCTTTCTGCTTCCTAAGTAGCTGAGATTACAGGCATGTACTACCATGCCCAGTCTGCTTTAACATATTCCAAGGTCTGCCTTCTTTCCAGAGGACAGGCTGGTCTGAGTTTTTCAGGGAATCAGTGGCATAGATGCTGGCCATCAGTGGATGATGGATATCTATGACGTGACACACTCAGTCTGTCCAGAGTGGTGTCTGTAAGGCTGCAAGTTCTTAGCAGTGGAGAAGGCAGCATCAAGGCTGGACTGCCTACACTCAGGACGGAGCCTAATTGAACCTCACAGGTAATCTCTTTGGAGAGATCTCAGGTGAGAAGACAGCTTTGTTTTGAAGTGGACTGGAAGCAGGGCTCAGGTGGCAGGGTGTCCGGTGAGCAAGCAAGCTGGGTGATGAAGGCAGAGTTTGAGCCCAACTTCAGGCAAAAGAACACAAGGCTAGATAGACATACAGACAGACAGATGGATAGATAATAGGTAGATAGATGGATAGACAGGTAGACAGACAGATGATAGAAAGATACATAGATAGACAAGTAGATAGATAATAGATAGATGGATTCATAACTAGATAGACCCGACAATAGCAATGCCTTTGAGAAAGAAGAAATGAGAATGATTAGAAACAAAAATTGCAAGATAGTTTATCAGAGATGCCTCGGGTGAGTTCTAGCTACAATATATTTACAAAAGGATCTCAGAGATCCCACACCCGCGAGCCTCCACACCAGCCACACCGCCAGGGTCCTCTGTCGTTGCTCCCGTAAGATGGAAGGAGGGAGGGCTGCAGTCACGAATGCCCGCGGAGTCGCGTGGTGATGCCTCCTTGAGTCGCAGAGCTGGAAACGTGCACACGTGCAGCGAGAATCGGGCTGGCATCCGTGAGGGGAGTCCCCAGAGAGGAGAACCCAGCCATCCTCAATCATGTCAACGTCACACGGCTTTCATGTCCCATTGCAGAGGATTACAGTCATTTTTAATCATGACTTATTGTTCCGTTCTCCCAAAATGAAAGGGATTTTCTGTGATTGGTAAATCAGATGGTAATTGATTCTGCATTCATGGAGACTCTAGCAAAAGCCTCTTTATCCCCAGTTTGCAGTCACTGCTGTGATTGCCCCTCTGACAGGCACTCATGGCCCAATACACACTGTCTGATTTCATGGCAGCTAGAAAAAGGCTCAGAATTGGCCCCAGGGCCCACAGAAAAGAGGGCACTAGTCCCCACCTTGGGAAAATAATGAAGACCCCACAGGCGTTCACTGGCCTGACCATCCTGAGGACCCCAGAAAACAGGGGGACTGAGGAGTACCAGTGCTGAGACGGATATCCCCAGAGGATACCCCCGCTGTGTCACCAGGCTCACCCAGCTCCGGCCCTGCTCTACTTGGAATGGCACACTTTCTCCGTGTCCCTAACCAGTTGTGAAGAAAGATCATCAGATGAGATCATGTAAGATCGCAATGCAGGGAGGAGCTTGTGTGAGATTTTTGAACCATTCAGATAATATGAGAACACGTCATACAGATTTTCTAATAGAAATGTGATGGTGAAAACAGATGTGTTATCCATGGTCTCCACCCCCCTCCCCGATGGGAATCCTTGTCCATATCATTCTTCAGAAGATCTTCATGGTCCTGGGATGCGTGTGCGTACATTCACACGCATTCCTCTGCACCATTAAGTGTGGCTGTCCCTAAAAATTAGGATCCTACTCTCTGCATTGTTCTGCAGATTTTTCTTTTGACATTTCTTAGAGATACTTCCATATCACTGTACAGATCTATCTCATTCTCTTTTTTTTCACTTTCTTAACCACTTTCTAGAATTCCAAGGTATGGATAACCATCCTTAATTCATAGTATATTGATAGGAAATTTCTTATCTTTTTATTGGTTCATATAATTCTTTGTGAACTAATGCCAGTATCTCTCTGACACTGATAGTTAGATGTAAAATCTGGGTTTAAAATTAAGCATATTTTAAATCTTGATAGACTGACTAATTGGTCCTGAAAAGAGATCATACCGATTTCTTCTCTCCAGCCATACCATACGCCGGGTCTTTGCCTGTCCTTTCTGCCAATTGAACAGGCAGAAAATGTCTCATTGTATTAATTTCTACATTGTGGATAAAAAAAATCACATCTCGCATTTCATGATCATTGGATTTTTTTAAGCCACAATGTGCAGTTCACAGCGTGTGTCCCCTTTTAGTTGGTTATTCCTCATCTATGAACAAGACAAACTAATCCAACCTGAAACACAATGGCGATGTCTCACTGCCTGGCCTACATGGCTTCCATCCTTGGGGGCGTGAGGAAGACAAGCGGTTTATTTTCTTTGGTCTGTAGTTGATGGCGAGGAGAGTAAGATGTATATTTATACCACCCCATGATGGATGGGCTTCTTCCTGAGAATGTGTATCTTGTAAACAGAGTCTTCCCAGACATTTTTCTGGTAGGCAGATGCAGCGTTCGGATGGCCACACGCATGGCGGTGCATCTCAGCTGTTGAAAGACAGGTGTTTTGCCTTTGGTGCGAGCGCTCCATGTGCCATGCGTGACTTCTCCTCTAAGAAGGACGTCACCACGCCAGGGCTGTGGCTGAAGGGCTGGGAGGGGCCCCCTGAGGGGCGGCTTTCTCACACCGGTGCGGCTGTGGTTCTGAAGTGCTGGCCTCTGCTCCGTGTCAGCCAAGAACAGACAGTCCCCTTGGACACCGTCCTGCTGGAGAGAGCCACGTGTGCGTCATTGTCTGCCTTACAAGCTAGGGTGTCTGCCTGCGGGATGGTCAGTATTGAGTCCTTTCATCCAAGGCCCCAGCTAGGTCAGCTTAAACCATGTGATTCCTTTTGGTACCTCTGTCCTTGACCCCCTGAGGCAGGGGAGAGGGTGAGTTTGGGGGGAAAACAGTGAGGGGGGCTCTCACTATAAAGAAGTAAGTAAGCCGGGTGCCAGTGGCTCACGCCTGCCATCCTACCTAACTCAGGAGGCCAAGAACTGAGGATTGTGGTTCAAAGACAGGAAAATCTGTGAGATTCTTGCCTACTAAATTACTGGCTAAACTACACAGAAAAAGCCAGAAGTGGTGCTGTGGCTCAAGTGGTAGAGTGCTAGCCTTGAATACAAAGAGGTTCTGAGTTCAAGGCTCAGACTGGCAAGAAAGGATGGAAGGAAGGAAGGAAGGAAGGAAGGAAGGAAGGAAGGAAGGAAGGAAGGAAGGAAAAGAAAGTGTCCAAACACCTGTGGCTCCTGCCTGTAATCCCTGCTACTGATGAGGCTTTGATTTAAGCATCATGGTTTGAAGCCTGAGAGAATCTTATCTCCAATTAACCAACAAACAGCTGGAAGTGGAAGTTTGCCTCAAATGGGTAGAATGCCATTTTTGAACAAAAAAGCTAAGCAATAGTGTGAGGCCCTGAGTTCAAGTACTAGTACCTGCACACACACACACACACACGCTGATAAAGACAATGGTGCTTAGGGAAGCCCATGAGTCACTGATGGAGCCCGGCTCGGCCTGTGTACGGAGGGGGATGGGGGAACCTGACATCGTCCTCATGCTGAAGGACGTCCCCCACACACATGGAATGGAAAGGACTCGAGGCTAGACCAGCGAGGGGGAGGGCTCCCTGTCATCACAGCTCCCAGCTGCAGGAGTGTCCGCGGCTCCTTGACTCCGCCACTGTGCTGGAGGCCGTGGTGTGCTTCTTCTCCGTCTGGTCCATCATCGGCCTCTCGGGATTCCATACGTACCTGATCAGCTCCAATCAGACAACCAATGAAGATGTAAGTTCCCGACCACAGGGCACAGGGGGGACAGGGAGAGGGGGAGGGTGTAGGGAGGGGTTGGGGTCCCGCTTCCCACACACACATCCCCCCCCCCAGCTGGGAGCCCTGGGAACAGTGAGCATGCTGTGGAGCATTGCTGTGTGTCGTATGTGTCCACCGTGCTGGGCATTTCTGCATTCTCCTCTTCTTCTCTGGCTGTGTCAGTCAAATGCTAAGACTGGCCAGGGGACCCCAGTCAGGCCAGGAGAAGCCCTTCCCGTCATTGCTAAATAACTGTGGAAGCTGCTTGCAGTATTTCGTCTCACGAAGAGAGTTCATGGTGGTGTGACATCCCGGAATGATTGATGACGCATCTGCCTTTCATACTTCATGTCTCTTTTTAGTTTGGGGCAGTAATTGCCCTGACCCAAAGTTTAACTTTATATCCAGGACCATCTGCCTGTATTTAATTCTGGTACAGGCGAGGAACAAAGCACGTGTCAGTAAGCATGGTCCTAGTTGCTGCGTATGCAGACACTGTCCTGCACACACAGAAACTGCTGTGTGCGCAGAAACTGAATGTCTCAGAACACGTCAGATTACCTTAAACAAAGCTGTGAGGGAAAATTCTGTGGTATCTCAGCATGGTCATGCATGCCTGTAATTCCAGCTATTTGGTAGGCAGAGACAGGAAGATGGTGAGCTCAAGGCCAGGCCAGATCCTGCGAGGTTAGCCAGACCTCATTGTATCACATTACATTATATTATGTTGGGGGGGGGGGGCGATGACTTGAGTATCTAGAGTGTTTACCTAGCAAGTGTGAGGCCTCTGGCTTCATTACCCACTACTGAAAACGAAATCAGAAAAGGAATTAGTGGTGATAAAATACACAGAGTAGGAGAGTTCATTTGATTTGTAACTGTGCATAGTAGAACCTGCACGGCAGACTATTTTATGAAGACCATGGGCTGGATTCTGTTTCTAGCCTGGCAATTGGGAGCCACACCCACTTTCCAGCCACCATTCATTTAATTGGTTTGGGTGGAAGATGTGTGAAAACATGACCACCGCCACTGGCATACATTGGAGGACCTGTTGGTACCATGCAGTACAAATAGATTAGCAACCCCAAACAGCAGCATCTAAGCTGCTGTTTGAGGATGACTCTAAGTTTGAGGGGAATGCTTATTTTCTTCTAGAAAAGTACCTCCGTGTCTCCTGGCGAGGAAATGAGCGAAGATTATTTGCATTCCCCGTAGGTGTCTCTGGGCATAGTTTGCCCAAAGGTGGTGGCAGGCGGTAGCATTGGTCTGGAGGACATTGTGTGATGCTGGCATACCTTTTCTTTCAGATCAAAGGATCTTGGTCAAACAAAAGGGGTAAAGAAAATTACAATCCCTACAGCTACGGAAATATCTTTACAAATTGCTGCGTTGCCTTGTGTGGACCCATCTCTCCAAGGTAAGACCCAGAAAGCAGCCTGCTCCTGACAGATCTGGAAAAGTCTCCTCCGTGTTAGCACAGGTCCTCCACTCCGGGCGCCCCCTGGCGGCAAAGCCCTCGCCCCCTCCCACCCCACCCCTCACAGCCCATAGATGCAGCCCCTGAAGTAGCAATCTGCCTCTGGTGGTGTTGATCCCTCTGCACATGGTTTGTGGTCTTAAACTAAATTTGTGTCAGGCTTAAGAACAATTCCCTAGTGCTTGGAATAAGGAAACTCCGTTAATTATTGAGTGAGTTCGAGCATCAGTGATGAGCCGGGAGCTAGGGTCAGCATAGTAAAGCAGCCAGGGCAGGGAACCTAGGAAAGCAATTTAAAACCTGTGGACTCTGGTGCTGAAGGCTGAGTGGCCCAGGATAGAAAGCCTGAAGGCCGCGGGGGCAGGGAGGGGTAGCCAGGCGGGCTGGACATTGTGGAGGTGACCGTGATGGTAACCATGGCAGTAGCTGACATTTATTCAACTTGTGTTCACCCTCCTCTGTGCATTTTAGAGGCGCTTGCTTTGTTGTGTTTCTGTCAGTTCTAGAGCTTGAACTCTGGGCCTCTCCCTCTCAGCCTTTTTTCTCAAGGCTTGAGGAGCTCTACCATTTGAGTCACACCTCCACCTCGGCTTTGTATTTGTAGATCTCACAATCCAAAAGACTTTTTGTCACAGTTGTTCACCTCCGGGGAAGCTCCTCCTCCTTGGAACTGCTTTAACTGCTTGCTGGGAGGTGCACTGGGGGCCAGATGGGGTGGCACAGGCCCTTAATCACAGCTACTCAGGAGGCGGAGATGGGAGCATCACCTCCCAAAGCCAGCCTGGGGCAAAAAAGAAAAAGAACTAAAGCAAAAAGGGCTAGAGGCATGTCCCATGGGAGCAGACCTGTCTGGCAAACACAAGCTCAAATCCAGTACCCCCAAAACGATAAGTGAACTGCGGTGCACTGAAATAGTAAGCGTCTCCCAGCCGGCAGCAGCTCCTGAGTTAGCAGCTGTGACTGGGGCCCCACCGAAGCCGCCCGGGCCCGCTGTGTCGGGTGAAAGCAGGAAGGCCGAGGGAACACACGCGGGTTAAAGTGAGCGCGGAGCCTTGGCGGCCAGTCCCAGGCTGAGGGCCGCTTGGCGGTTTCCGAGGGGTCAGGACTGGCCGCGCGGAACCAGCTTCAGTGTGTGGCCGCCTGGCCTCCAGGGCCTTTTCACACATTCTAGAACATGCCCTGGCGGAGGGGCACGATCGGCTCCCGGCCCTCCCTCCCTCCCTGCCCCAGGAAGCTGTGAGGGTGCAGGTGTTTGGCTCACCTCTGCTCTTCCTTCCTGCCCTCTTCTCCTGGTCTCCTCCCTCGGCCGGCCTCACGCCGATCCTGTGCCCTCCGGCTGGAGCCCAGCCTCCCCGGGCACGGCTGCCAGTGCTGAGCTTCATTGCCTCGCGTGGGTGATACATGGCGGCGTGATGCGGAGCAGGTGTCTCCGTGTCCCCACCGAGAGCCCCAGGCCACCTGTGCGGTGTCACCAGAGGGCCGGGGCGGCTCCCAGGGGCCTCGCGCAGGCGTGGAGGGAGGAATGGCAAACGGGTTCTGTCGGGCGGGCGGATGTGGCGTGCTGGCCGAGGGCCATCCATGGGCAAGCCGCGCACAGCACAGTCCCCTCAGACCCTCTGGGCTGGGGGGTGATGGGTAGGGATTTGGGGGAGGCACTGTGGGCGGCAGGGACTTGACAGATGGGAGACAGCATTGCCGGGGCCCCGAAGGGAAGCCCTGGTGGGGGGGGCAGAGGCATGCGCGGGGGTTCAGGGCCATTCGGAGGCGCAGCGGACGTGGGGCAGAGCCACGGCCCCGGCCCCGGCTGCGGGGCTGCTCCTGCCGCCCGCTGCCCGCTGCCCGTGGCTCGCAGCCGTGGCCCCGCTGCCCTGCAGACTGCTGGCCTCGTCCTTCTCTGCTGCTCAGTGAGAGCCCCACACATCCGTCCACGTTCATCCTCCCTAACGGAGCGTCATTTCAACGAAGCCGACCGGCCCAGGGCCCCTGGAAGTTAGCGCCGCCCGTCCCAGCTTCCCACCCGAGGGGAGGGCTGTGGGGAAAGGGGGCTCAGGGGCAAGGGGGGCCCTTCCCCAGGTCCTGGCCCGCGGTGGCGGGAGATCCTGGAAAGGCCTGTCTTGGGGCTGCCCCTCCGTGCAGCTCCCAGGGCTCCCCACACCGCCGGCCCCTCACCGGCTCCCCCCGAGTGCGGCCGACAGTCCTTGGTCCTCCAGGGTCGTCTGGAGCCGCCTCGCCCCAGCCTCTGCCTCTGTGTCACGTGGGAGACCACGTGACTCCACATCAGTCTCGTAAGGCCCACCCTCCCCTTCATTCAACCCCATCTCTCAAGTGCCGGGTGGGGCTGCAAGCGGATATTTTCCCACCATTCCAGCCAGGATGCGCCTCTGCAGGCCCGCGGCAGGTGGACAGGGGAGCGGGGAGGGAATGTGACTTAGAACAGACAAAGCACAGGGCGCACAGGTGAGCGAGACCCGGCCGTGTCCCCGCGCTGCAACCCGCGAGGTGCTCAGACCACGTTTGCCGTGAGACCCTAAGAGGCTGCGAGCATAAAACGTGAGCTTGAGGCCGGACAGAAGAGCAGGGACAGACCGCGGCCGGCAGAGGTGACACACATTGAGACTGAGGAAGGGGACAGCGGCGCGGCGGGTCCGGGGAGGGCCGATCCACGGGTGGGGGGGCATCCTAGAAAGAAGGGACCCAGACGTGGACGTCTTGATGCCCACTGCAGTGTCTGTGGGTTTTTCTTCATGCTCTCCCTCCTGTGTTTTCTTCTTGCTGCAGCCTCATTGACAGACGAGGGTACATCCAGCCTGACACTCCGCAGCCCGCCGCGCCCTCCAATGGGATCACCATGTACGGAGCCACGCAGTCACAGAGTGACATGGTAGGGACGGCCAGCCCCACACGCTTCTCTTCTCTCACACAGGCTCCAACCCCGAGGCCAGCCACATGCTCACTAGGGAATGGTCAAAGGGCAAATTAGGACAGTATTCAACAAGGGATCCGAGGCCAAGTCTGGCTAGCTCGCTGTTCCTTTGGTGTAGAACTAGACTGCATCTGAGCAGCAGCAAAACATTGCGTCTCATTTCACCTCAGCAGCATCTCACAGTCACCCCATTTTATACAAGATAAAGTGGGGGATTTTTTATTTAAAATGCTAAATGACTTGCTCAGATCATGCGGGGGCTGAGTCCAGGCCTGTGTACTCTCTGGCCATGGGCCCTCGCTGGGTGTCAGCGACCTCTCCACACCTGGGGGCTGAGGAGACAGTGCCCCTCAGCCTCGGCTGCTCAGCAGAATTGCAACTCTCACACCCCAGTCCTGCTAGCTCAGAACCCCAGGGCAGGGCCCACGCTCTGGGATTAATAGGGTTCCGTGGGTGAGTTTAATAGATGATCAGCAAGGAAAAAACCATAGCCATAGCCTTCAAACTCTCCAAAAGTTGGGGCTATGAGAACAGTTTTGTAGCCACTTTTTGCTCTGGTTCAGAAAAAGTATCTTTTATCAGCTGGCTTACAAGTCAGAGGGACTCAGCTGAGACTCAGCTCACACATGGTCTATTCAGAAGAAAAAAAGATAGGGAGAATTTCAACAAAAAAGACAAGATCCTGTAGGTTTCAGACAAAGCTTCCTGGAAGACATGATGATGTTTGCACTAAGTATAAAGATGACAATAAATTAGGCACCAAGGTGAGAGAGGGAGGCAGCTTTCATCACTATAACAAAAAGTCTGAAGTGATTCCCTTAGGAAAGCTGTGTTTTGCTGGGCACCAGTGGCTCACACTTGTGAACCTCAGGAGGCTGAGATCAGAGGATTGTGGGTCAGGGCCAACCAGGGCAGCAAAGTCTGAGAGACTCATCTCCAATTAACCACCAAAAAAATCCAGAAGTGGCACTGTGGCTCAAAGTGATGAGCCAAAGAGCTCAGAGACAGTGCCTAGACCCCAAGTTCAAGCCCCATGACTGACAAAAAAAAATAAAAAGAAAAGGTTTCTAGGGCACAGTTTAGAAGTTCAAGTCCCTGCTCTGTAGCCACATTGCTTTTAGGCCTCTGGTGGAGGAGCCGGGTAGAAACGGAGAGAATACGGCAGAGCGAACTGCTCACCTGATGACCAGGAAGCAAAAGAGGGGAAGAATCAGAGCACGGGGTCTCACGGTCCTGTTTGAGGGCATGCTCCCAATGATCTAAATGCCGCCTGTAGGCCTCTTCTAGAAACTCCACCATCTCCCAATAGCACCACCAGGATGAGCAAGGCATTCTCCACCGAAATTATAACAGGAGGGCCGCGCAAGCACAGCAAATGTAGAAGCACAGCCAGTGTGGCACGAGGCTGCCAGGTGCATGCTGGGAAAGGTGAAGGGGAGAGCGTGGATAGGGGAACGGGAACTCAGGGCAGCTAAGCCAGAAAAGATGCGCACAGAGGACCGCGGTGCCTTGCAAACCGGCGTGGGCTTTGTCCTGTAAAATGTCGGGGAGCCTGGCAGAGCGTCCGTTCGGCAAATACGACCTTCAGATTGTCATTTCGAGTGGGTGGGGCTGGCAGTAGGCTAGGGTGGTCTGTGCTAAACTGAGGGCAGACAGAGGAGTTCTCACGCAGGGACTGAGGGGCAGAAACAGACTCGAAAAGGACACAGCACAAACCAGGGTTTGAGACTTGAGGCCGTGGGAAGGTCTGGGAAAGGGAGCCAGGGGCGTCTCGCCCCAACCTCGTGCTGAGTGAGATGGCTGTTCCTTGCACCAGTGACCGTTCCGTGGGTGGGGCTGATTCGGCATGTGGAATTCTCTGCTTGTGTTCTGGGGGCCGGGGGAATGTGGCAAGCAGGGGGGTGGAAGGGTCAAGGAAGGGTTGTTGACCCATGTTCATGAAGAAATGGAGTGCTGGATAGCGCGTGGAATAATGAAGGTGACGTCACTCCATTTGTCAGGTAGCTAGGATTAGTCACTCATCTTCCTGACGTTCCCTGCACCCACCGCTGCCGACTGTATGCACCCCACTACGTCACTCAGGTTTCCTCGTCTGATTGGCTACTAGTGAGGACAGCAGAAGAGGGTGATCCTGAGAACTCAGTGAAGGAGAAGCCGGCAGCGCAGAGGACGGTAGATGACAGAGAACTGGGGCTGACGCTTTGGGGTGTGACAATCAGACAGGTTACCTAATGCCAGAACTGGAAAGTGAGGAAGCCAGTGGCATCGCCACCCTGGACTGTGCGAGAAATGACTTAGAGCCTGTCATCTGTTTCATCTTCCCCCCACCAGTTCATAACACAGGACTAGCACAGAGTAGGTGCTTTTTAAACCTTTGATGGAACATATGTGAAAATCCCCCTTCTAGGGGCTTCCTCGTAGTAGGTTCTTAGCAAATGTTAGGGTGCAGTTGTCTTCTTCCTCATTCCTTCCATCCTCTGATATGCCACATCTGTAAACAGCAGGCCTTAGCCACCCTACATACAGAACACAGAAGGAAAGGAGTTTCTTTGGTCTAGTGATAACACAACATGGCCTATGAAAGAATGATCTGGACAGAACCAAACTAACCTGTGGCCAAGAGAGGTCATGGTCATTTTATCCATGAGACTACAGGCGAGTACTCTGTCCTTTGTAGGAACTGCAAAGAAACTGAAGGTCTGGGCAAATGCCTACGTTGGAAAACATGAAATCAGAGTTAATAAATGTTGAATATGTCAACCTCATTAACTGTTAAAATTTAACATTCATGAAAGTGTAATTACATTTTAGAAATGATTTGTAGCTTGGCTTTCTCTTAACTCCCTAAGAATTCCTGAGCACACGTGTGATTACACAGAAGTCGTGATCAACTATAAATTAAGTCGTTTGCTCGCAGATAGACACATGTGAAGGTCTCTGACTGGAGCCCCTCCCTGGCTGCCTTCCCATGCTGCCTGGCTAGGAGAAGCCCAACGTGGCCTCCTGCTTGTTCCAGGAGAAATCTTCTTGATGCCATGACCATGCCCTGACTGGCACTGCCCTGGGCACGCGCGCTCATCTTCGGGAAAGAATGAGATCAATCCCTCAACCTACAAGGTCACAGCGGGGACCGCCTGGATTGGGATTCAGATCCCCTCAATGCAAGAGACTCTGACACCCAGAGCTCACGTGGCAGACAGGAGTCCCGGAAAGTTCCACAGGGGAATTGAGTTACCCCCCTCCCCCCTCAAGTCCGGACAGGGAATTCCACTGAACCTTGGCCTTTAGGGTCCTTTCCAGTTCGTATCCTGTTGGACAGATGAGTTTCCAGCCCATTCCATCTTATCACCATGACAACATATTCCGCTCTGCAGTTAATGTATAGGCCAGTCGGCACCTCGTTATGTTTCCAGCTTTCTTTAGGGGTTCCTGTGGTGTGTAAGTGCTGGGCTAAGAGGACTACAGTCGTGTGCAGCAAGGCTGGTATTAAGCAGAGCCCTCACCCCACTTTCCTCTTTCTGGTTTATTCTCCCGATGGCCTTAGAGAACCCCCCAGAGGCTGGTGAGCAAATTGCCTCCATTTTTGCAGATTAATAAAACCCAGGGACCACGAGTACTTAACGGTATTTTGCCTAAAGCTTTTGCATGTTTACCCACAAGTCCCTGCTCTTAACCCTATGCTGTACCACCACCACCCATAATGAAATATTTGCAGAGAACTGACTGCATATACAATGCTTTTTTCCCACATTCTTTTAGTCTCTACAGCCTGTTATCCTCACTCCCTCTCCTGGAGAATCAGCATCTTGGAAATTAGAGATAAGGATATAAAAGTCTTAGATAAACACCCTAATATTGCAAGGGACTCTTGGCTGGATAGCGGGGGAAGCTGGCATTGAGTGGACTCGCTGGAGTCTCAACTGTGTCTCAGGTAGGGAGTCATCGGGCGCCGGGGGCTCACAGCCGTAACCCTAGCTACTCGCCAGGCTGACATCTGAGGATCACTGTTCAAAGCCAGCCTGGGCAGGAAAGCCCATGAGATTCTCACCTCCAGTTAACCAGCATAAAGCTGGACATGGAGCTGTAGTTCAAATAGTAGAGTGCCAAACTTGAGCCATAAGGCTTAGGGAAAGTACTCTGACCCTAAGTTCAAACCTCAGTATCAGCGCACACAAAAGAGTAGCAATAATAACAGTATATTTACTTAGACTGAAATTTCACATCCCCCCACAACTTGCTCTTGGAAGGTGTGGAACCTTCCAGAAGTGGGTCTCAATTGGAAGAAGTTAGGTGTGCCCTGGAAGGGGACACTGGGACCCAGTCCCTTTCTCTCTCGGCCTTTGGGCTGTGACGTGAGCAGTATCCCCGCTGTGTGCGCCCACTGTAACGTCCTGAGCCGCCAAAGGTCCCAAGTGCCGGGGCCCAGGGATCACAGGCTACAGCTGCCAGACCATGAGCCACATAAACCTTTGCTCCCTCCTAGTCCCTTACCTCAGGTATTTCCTCACAGTCCTGGAAAGCTAACTGATACTCCCCTTAAACCAGTATCAAAACATGACGAACCCAGCAGCTGTATGATGTGTTAAACTAGGATTCCAGAATAGTCCTTGTGTAATCTGGAAAAGTCAAAAGCATTGGGGAAAATTATCTTGAACCAGCTCAAATAGCACTGCCAACCACCGTCTACATTTTGGGAGGACTTGGTGAGAAGTTTCTGGTGTTCTTGCACACTTTAAGTTCTGCCACAGACGTTCCCTCCCTGGCGATCAGCTGCTGTCCTGAGTCTGCTCTGCATTTGACCAAACTTGAACCAAGAAAAAAGGCAATGTCAGTAGGATTCTATCTACTATTTGAAAAGTGTGGGTCTTTAAAGGGTTATTGGGGGAATGAAAATGTGTGCTTCTCCGTTTGCTGTTCATAGTAGATGGACTTCTATCAAAGAACTTAGGTGGTTATTT